TGGATGGATGGATGGATGGATGGATGGATGGATGGATGGATGGATGGATGGATGGATGGATGGATGGATGGATGGATGGATGGATGGATGGATGATTTCACTTCGTTAAGAAGTGAAATTTGTCATTTTTATTTCATTTCACACTTATTTGTAGAGGTTATCTCATTGGTAACCTGGTTAACAAGAAAGACCAGTTTTGATAAAAACAAACAAACACTTCTTTAAGAAGTGAAGTCATGTTGTTTTTTTCCTACTGAAAAACATAATTCTTTGAAAAATGTCTTACTACCTTCGACTTAGAAAGAAAAGTGAGACAAGAGCTTCATACAACACATTTCTATTCAAAACCTAAAACCAGTGTGTCTAATTTGTTTCCAGCACAAGAAGCAATGAAAAGGTTTGACTCAGTTTATTAGCTTATTTAAACAGGATCAAAACGTTTAATTGCTTGTTTTGTTGCTGTGCAATTTTTTTTGTTTTTATCAAAACCTGTGTCTCTTGTAAACAACAATACCAACCTCTATAACCTCTACAAATAAATGTGAAATGAAATAAAAATTACCAATAAGAATTGCTAACCAGAGGTTCAACAACTTTTTTTGCAGAAAGGTTTAAAATGTGACTTATTAGTCCTGGTTAGAATCCTACAAAAAATCTCTAATGTTTTTTTTCTGGTTCAGTTTGCTCTATTTCTAGAAACATTGATGAATTCAGCGACTTGACTTCATTTTGCCCATGTTAATTAAATAACCACAAAGACTCAAGTCAAAAGCAACACATGCATTCATTCTATCCGTCTTTAAGTGAGTTTAACCCTGATTAGTTTGTTTATCATTCTGATGAAAAAGTCATTATGGCTGTAATTACCAGCTTAAATATCCTCTAAATCAAATAAGCTTTAGGATAATTAAACCAAAACTAAACACAAACGAAACAACCTCAATGTATACAACAATGTCTTAAATGTTTGATAAGATTGTTCATTGAAATTCAGGCATTTTATTCACAGAGATACATCAATTGAAGTGTTTCATTCTCCTTCCAGAATAAAAGTATTTTGAACCCAAGTGAATATTGATTTCTAGAAATGAAACTCCCCAGCCTGATGGGAGCATTGCATGTTGAGACACATTTAACTCCAGATTCACTGCAGAAACTCTATTATATAATGCAAGTAATTCAGAAAACAGCACTTAGTAAATAAAAAAAAGCTTTTACATATTCCTCTCTCTCCCATTGAGTAAAGTCATAATCGACTGTAACAGGAGAGTCAACATAATTCCATATACCTTTAAAGCGCTCATCTATATTAGTTGCTGTGCTTGAAAGATATTCCAAATACGTTCAAAGACAAGAAGTCTTTGACATTTTTGGAAAATTGGAACAGTGCCATATTTAATCAGAAATGAACTGCATTTTGCTTACCTTGTCAGAACCCAGAGATGTTGCACAAGAGTTTTTGCAGTGTTTAAGTAGCAGATCATTGAAGCAGGAGGAGGGATCAGAAGGATCCAGCAACCAACCAGAAACCTGTGGATCCTGGATCTGACAGCCTGCCACTGCAAACAGTAAAAAGCTCAAAAACATAAGAGCATCATCAGACAGAGGAACCCAATATGTAAAGAGACTGGTACTAATAATTTACTACAACTGGTCTAGAACCAGAGATTGATCATAAAATCATATTTTAACTTGTGAACTTCTCTTAAAAACAGTCATTTAAAAGTGATTATAATTAGAAAAGAGGTAAGTGAAAAGAAATTAAAAGAACAGAACTGTACAAAGAAACAAACTTTAAAAACTAGCTTTAATAGGAGTAACTGACTGGAAAAACAAAACACATATCGTCAGCAACTTCAACACTTTTGTATTTTAATTCCTATATTCATTAAAATGAACTGTACAATTAGTTCAGGTCATCACAGCTTCAACTGTGGCTCAAACCTCTCAGTAATGACAACCTGTCGCTCATAAGTTTAGTTTATCTTTGATGTAATCTGAAGCCAACAAGAACCTCAGGCTATTGGTGACGGAAAATTCATCATCTGAAGGGTCCTACCTTCCTTCCAGCTGAGATCATGTTTGTAAAACAGCAAAACTGTTCGAAGGAAATCCTTGGCTTTATAACAAATCACAAGTCCAGACCTTGACAATACCCGTAGAAGCATAGCCCTGTGGTATATAATCAGAAACACACATGTTAGGAATTCTACATCTGTAAAAGTCTCTAGGTTTTACTGTCAAACTCTTTATTGTACCAATATTTCTCCATACGAACAGTCAGACCTGGTGAAGAGCTGCTGAGCGAGCTGAATCCTCTGCTGTGCCCATGGAGGGTTGCGCTCTAGTTTAAAGTAGACCAAGCTGTCATTCAGACCAAGAGAACAACGAGGTGTGGTGCAGCGAAGATCAGTCTTCATCAGCACAAGGAGGCCACACACTGCTGGAGCCAGCTTCTGTGTCCGCCATAAAAAAAAAAAAACAGTTTGAGAAACCTTGTTTCAAAGGATTTAAAATAAAATAGAATGACAAATCATCAGAGTAAGACATGTTTATTTACCGGTAGCTCAGATTATATCAAACACGATCAGCTACTATATGTATGCCGAAGACAAACAGCTTTACATCATAATTTCATCACATGACTCTGAAACCAACAGAGCATTGGCTTGATGCTTTGAACTGATCAGTATGAGGATGCACCATCATTTTCTCCTGGGATGCACCAAAAATTTGGCCACAGAAAATGGCCGAACAGTGCATCTTCGGTTTTTGGCTGATAGACATTTTTGAAAAAGTGTAAGCTGATGGTTCACAAATCTGCTATCATGACTGTGTGTTACAATGCATTATATTAAGATTTCAGATGTTCCATTGTTTGAAGAACTATGAACTTTAAGACTGCACCAAGTTTGTTACCAATGTGAGGGGAAGCGTTGGCCTTGAAAGTAACTGCATACAGTCTGCTACTGTTGTTCGCAGCTGCAGGCCCAGAATGATAACATTCTCCCTCTGGTTCCAGGATACTTGTGATGATATCAGAAGGTTGGTTAAGGTGTGTATTGTTAGAAACAGACTAAGGACTTCACACTGTGTATCTTTAAAAAGATGAGGTGACTTAGAATGCTTCAGACTGCTTCTGAACATTTTGAGGAGAATAGGTAGGTTTTTGTGCAGTCTTGTGGATGTATCCATTTCATAAATAAATGAAATAAAGTGTGAATTCTTCTCACTTTCAACCAAATGAATCCTGGGAAGGTGATGTATTAACAGAACTTCCTCATATTTCACATTAACGGTCATTTAAGATGAGCACGGGGGGAAAAGGATGTAAACAAGACAGCAGTTGCAGAAACGTTGTCAGAGTTGAGCGCTTCAGACAGGTTCAGAGTGAGGGAATTCAAGTTTAGAGGCACAAAATGCCAGAAATCCAAACGTCCCCATCACCATTCTGAATATAAGAATGCGACACAGAAAAGGAAAGTGACAACAAACATGCCCACTCTGTATTTGCTATTATTTGCTTTACTACCTGTTTTTAATTGTGCTTTTATTTTCCTTCTAATTTACTGTTTAATTCATGTGAAGCAAATTGAATTATGTTTGTACTGAATGGTGCTATAATTTTTTTTTGCCTTGCTTTAGAAAATATCAAATGACCAAAATCAAACAACAAACTAAAGCTTTCTGGACGTTTAGGGTTGGCCATGACAATGAATTTAAACTGTTCTGATTCCTTGTTGGGCTGTTCAGTGGCACAGTGGGTAGCATTGCTGCCTTGCATCAAGAAGATTCTGGATTCCATTCCCGGCCCGGGGTCTTTCCTCATGGAGTTTTCATGTTCTCCCTGAGCATGCGTGGGTTCCCTCCGCCTACTCGGCTTTCTCCCAACAACATGACTGTTGGGTTAATTGGCCTCTCTATATTCTCCTTAGGTGTCAGTGAATGGTTGTTTGTCCTGTTTGTCTCTGTGTTGCTCTGCGATGTACTGGCGACCTGTCTATGGTGTGTCCCGCCTCTCGCCCGTCGACAGCTGGAGACCAGCACCCCTCGCAACTCCGCTTGGGATAAGCATAAGTGTTGCGCCGATACCGATAACAGTATCGGACAGGGCCCCGATCCAGCACCAAATATGGTGGTAGCGGCGAATATCGACAAATAGGGCACCAATACCATTTTGAAAGCCAAAAGTTTATTCAACTATTATTACCCATACCAGGTAGGCAATAAAAAGTTCTACTGGATTCACTTTGTATTAGTCTTTTTCCTGCTTTACGAGGAGCTTGACAAAGCCATGATGGCAATTATTTTACATCCAAGTATGTGGTTCTTCATATATACACACACCCATCAATTTCAAACAGATGGTATCTGTATCGGCCAATACTGGAAAGCCAGGTATCGGGTATCTGGGCCAAGGAATGGCATCGGTGCAAAAAAAAATGGATGGATAATTCCTTGTTTTATTTGGTTGCTATTGATTATTTAATTCATTCTTTTAAGAAGAATCATAAAAGCTTACATTAGCCGACTGAGTTCTGTCTGGATGAAATAGTCTGAACTTTAAATAAAATTTTATCCCTATAACATCTAACTTTGTGTAAACATTACTATAAATGATCAAATAATTTCATCCAGTGTCTAAATATCAAACCTATGAACTCTAATGAGCTTCAGGAATGATCTACGGCAGCTCTATGTTAAAGGGTTTTACATTCTATCCAAAACGTCTCGGAAACAAGTCCCATCGCCAGTTGCACGTAGTCGACTTGTCATTTCCGTAATTAGCTTTAAGACACAATTTTGAATGCTGCAACACAAACAGGTGGTTGTGCTCACATGCCTGTGATTCTTTATTTCTGATATTGAGCAGCTTCTATTCCCCATTAGCAGACTGGGCTTTGAAACTAGGAATTAATAATAAATAATTGAGCGATTCCAGGAGAATTGAAAGGTTAGAACTGGTTCTGATGGATTGATCCATCCATTCCCAACACTAGTTAATGGCAATGTTCATCACCAGTGACATGGCTTGTTCCCTCTACAGCTTTGACCAGATTGTTGTCTTCAGTCTGCTTACCACTGGGTCCACTCACCTGTTCAGGGTCCAACTGAGTTGTTCCATCCTGAAACATCAGTGTTAGCACCACCACCTCAGCACGGGACAGCTCCTCTAGCATCTGCTCCCTCTCCTCCTGATTCAGCCTCCCAGAATCCTTTATCCTGGCATCGGATGGCCGGGCTGCAGGTGGTAGGCTGCTTCTGGGATGAATTTGTGGCTCAGTCGTGGTAACGACCTCATGAAAACCTTTTGAAACATCTTTTGCTGGATTGAACCTCATTTTGGCCAACTGATGTTTGCATAGTTTGTCGAAGGTTTTTTGCTCAGGTGCCTTCCTTTCCATTTCGTGGGTGGATTTTTTCACTTTGCTTTGACTGACAGGCTGAGTTTCCTTCAGAACAAGAAATTCTGGGTGGGTTTTAAACACAGGGTTCTTCTCGCAGGGAGCGATTTTAATCTGGTTTTGTTGCTGCTGTTCTGAGGATAATGGACCTCCAGAAATGGACGGTTGAAGTCTGACTTTCCTCAAAGCACGCACTCCTTCTTCCATCACCGTCACTTGAGAGAAATGTGGCGGCTCCCACTTTGGCGGTTGACTTGTTTTGTTCTGCTTGAGTGACGGATGTACATGTTGAAATAAATCCCACTTCCTCTTTAGAGGAGAGGATAGTGTGAGGGGAGGACGGTGAAAATTCAGCTCAGAGGCTATTTTTCTTGTATATAGGTCTTCATCAACAGCTTCTGTTATGGTCAACTCCTGCTGTAAGGGAAATTTCCATCCGCCTTGTGGAATGAGTACCAGGCCTGAATTTGTGCTGGTCTGAAAAAAGAAAGTAAACAATAAAAATATACATGCATATTTCAAAATAAAATTAAATGATCTGTTTAAAACATCTAAATATGACTTAAACTAGGCCGCTGCTATCGAGAAGATCTTATATAATGTACAGAAGTATCCACAAATGGTGACTTAAATAGAAAGTTTTCACATTCATATACAAGACAATATAAAAAAAAACCTGTGAACTTTTTCTCATTTTATGAAGTTTCGCCCACAATCAGAAGCAAAAGGAAAATAATTTATGGTTCTCCAGTTTTTTTGCTACGTATAAATATGTAAAAGCTGTGCATATGTATTTAACCTTCCATTACTGTGGTAAAATAAAGCAGGCATATATAGGATTAAGATGTTACTGAAATGATACAAGGAGTCAAGAATGTGCAGAATTGTAAAGTAGATGTATTGAGGAAAACCATTTATCTATATATTTCACACAAATCTGCTGTTTATGGTCGACTCCCAATAAGAGAATTGTAGGACAAATAAAGAAAGGTGTTCTTACCATTTTGGTGGCTAAAGCTAAAAGCTAACAATACGTCCGCCTCTGGCCACATCACTTTAGTCAATATATTGGTGGCTGCATCGTGCATCTAGTTGTGCAAAGGTTGAAACGTGCTCTAAAAAAAAAACTTTTAGCTTTATTTGCAATGAGACGTGGCTCAGAGTTGCTGGATACAAGCACAAATCTCATTTTCACTAAGTCAAAACCACGTTTATTAAGTTTCACTTATCCACTACTTCCTGTTTATCTATCCCATCAAATTTTACAAAAACACAATGCAGTTTGTAGTTGTAACATAGAGAATTATGAAATAGTTTACAGTGTGAATTCATTTGCTAGAAACTAAACTTTTCTTTTAGCACAATGTGGAAGTTAAACAAAAAACAAACAGAAACAGCAGGTGGATTTGCTGTAAAAAGACCAAAAAAGGAAACTAGAGAGGATGAAGAGGGATTCAGCCCTCAGCACTGTTTCCCAGACAAGAGGACAGACAGAGAAGATGCAGTTTGTCTGAGAAGTCTGCCTGAAGCAGGGACAGGGTCACACACACTGAACATCACCCCCATCTGTTCCCTCCATTTTTTTTTCATAGAAATAATATCATGCTTTTACTTTTTTGGTTATTTCAATTATTTAACTTTATGCTAATCATTGAAATAGTGAACAGAGATTTAAATAAAAGCATTTTATATATATATATATATATATTATATATATATATATATAATTAGAAAATATGACTTGAGCAACTTATTATCAAAAACAATCAATCTTTAAGCTGAGTTTAGGGCACAGGCAAGAGATGTGAAGATACATTTATTGTGATGATTTTAGATAAAAAACAATTAGCGACTTTATGCAGGCGCAGAATTCTGTGTGTCTGTCAGCGAGGCGTTCACTGGATAGGCATTCCTGTGAATCAGCTCCCTGAGGAGAATCTTCCTCATTTCCCTGTAAACACAACCCGTTTTCCTGCTGACAAAGTCATGAACCTCCCCCGGGTGCTGTGCTACAGGATATAGATAGAAAAACGAGGCAGGCCGTGGCCCGTAGCCGAGCGCCAGGCAAAGGAAACTGTGAGAGACTGAATGAGAAGGGTGAGAGAGGACATCTGCTGCTGATTGTAGCAATACAGCATAGCCCTGCGCCTCTTTCTGTAATCTTCTCTGCTCCATCTTTTCCATGAGGATCTTTGATCTGGTTATTCATCTGCAGATCCATAAACCCCTTTTTATTACTTTGCAGCTCTTACAACAAAAATCAGGATGACTCTGCAAGAACTTACTGTGAACTTTACAGCTAAGTAATGAGCCGTCAGTTGTCTGTGTGCTGGAAAACTTCCCCAAACTTCCCAATTTCATGCAAGACAGATTAATTAGTCAGTGTGTGAAGACATGGAGACCTAATCCCCGGCTAAAAAGCAGCCATCGAAATTTTAGGACTCTTTGGAAGCTTGCAATAATAGTAACCGGTGTCTCCAGAAGGAGGGATTAAGAGGCAGTGGTTTAATAAGTCTGCATGAAAATAGAGAAAAAGCTTCAAATAAACTCTGCAAGTACTTTACAGATAGAACATTTTTCTTTCTACAAATTTAGCAGCTCAACTCACAAATATCTTTTATTGCATCATCTTAAGCCTCTTCGTTCCATAAAGACTAACCTGCAGAATATGTTGCTGGTTGCCAGGGCGATAAGGAGGTCTGTACCCTGACCTAGGCAGCCCGTACCCAGGGGTTAGTGTTGGCACGGTACATCGTTCTCCATTCGAGGCCCCTAGAAAAAGGCAGGTGGCAGCATTTTATTTCTTAAATCTGATCATCACTCTTCTTCTCCATCCTGAATCAATAAATCTATTCTGTCCTGTAAGCATGTTTCCGAGTAGGCATGCACAAGGCCATAAAGGCATCAGCATGCATCAGCACGGTGCGGCACAGCGAGGTCTGCCAAGATTACATGACCCTTCTTCTAGAAGTCAATGCTGCTGAGGAGGAATGCATGCGGGTCAGTTGATTCAGCACCGTCTTTGCACATTTCAGACTAACTCCTTCATTCAGCTGAAACGTGACACTATGACATGGCATCACTGCCACTCAGCAGAATTAAAAAGATAGGCGAGTGCCACTACTGTTTGATTTGACGTGTCTCAGCTTCCCTAACAAGTAGTTACATTATGACGCTATGGCAGCACTGTGGCGCTGTTAGAATTCAGGTTTTTTTCAAGAAAAAGGGGTTAGAATCCAGGCCTCTTTCTGCATGGAGTTTGCATGTTTGCCCCATGCAAGTGTGGGATATGACTGAATGGTTGCTTTAAAATAGAGATGCACACATATATAGATACCTGGGCTGAGCATATTGGCCAATTCCGATACCGATCCGATTCAACTGCTGAATGAACCATACAACTTGCCATGTGAGTCAAGGCCTTAGCCTTGACATAAACATTGTTAGAAAATGGGAACAAATTAACAGAGAATTACATTTACCTTATACTCATTTTGACAAATAAGCAGCAAAAAGCAACATATAACAGTTTCATGTAAAATGCCCTGGATTGGATCTCCTATATAGTTATCAAATCACCGATATCTGATTCAGCTGATTAGTCAATATCGGAACCGATATCCAATCCAGGTATTGGATCGGTGCATCGCTAGTTTAAAGCCCAGGATGAGTAGGAAAAAGTTAAATAGTGCTCCTTTATATACTAAATCACTATTTCCTGGCTGTTTTAAACAAAGAGCAAAAAAAAAATGTGTTTGTAGCATAATTCAGTTATTCTCTGCTTAAGACTTATTTTGAAAATGTTTAATTTGAAAAGTGATACGTTTAACGGACCAAAGTAAACACGTTTACTTTTCCAAGGGGTACTACAGATTTCCCATGTTACATTTTTTACTTTAAGCCAGTTAAAAAATAGTACCAATAAACCCAAAATCACGTTTATTGATAGATCATTTTATTAACATCAGATATGGATGGTCAGGTAAAAGATCAGATGGAGAAAAGAAAAAAATATATAGATGGACAGTAGGGCTTAAATCTTATCACTATATTGGGTGAGAATATTGTGATAACAATGAGATACCTTAATGCTCTGAGTGCTTACTATAGCGATTACAGCCCCACAATCATAAATAATACTCTTGTAGAATATACCTAAGAAAATGTGGCTTCTTCAGGAGACATGCTACATTAAGAAGTATCTTTTATAGCAGTAAACATTTAATTATTTCTTCAAATTTATCAAAGCCCCAATGGAAAAAAAAATTAAAGAAAAGAAAAAAAATTGTTTAAAAAAAAAAATCCAAAAATAGAATTTTCTTAATTGTTTCCAATTTTATCATTTAGACTAATTAGAATTAGATGAATCTAATTCTTGACTAGAAACTTACCAGGATGATATTACGTTAAATGACCATCCCAAGTAAACAGCTGGATCTTTAAATGGACAGAGACGTAGTATAGAAATTCTGCTACTACATACAGTGTCTATCCAGGATTAGAAAACACTAATGGAATCAGAGACTACAGAATACACTGAGCCCTCTGCTAATCCAAGTCTGAACTTTTCCAATAGACAGTTATAGAGCTTTTACATTTTTCAGGTTTCTGCATCATAATCTTAAATTCATACAGAGCCAAAAATAATCAGCTGTGAACTGAATTTCCACAGCAATGTACTGTGTAATTAAAGGAATAGTACACCCAAAACATGATTAGCCTTCATTTTCTACTCACCCCCATGCTAAACAACACTCTGGAGTACTTTTTTGATATCTCAAATGCATCTGGAGATCTGGGAGGCTTCTTGCTGTCTGCTGACATTCAAATAATGGAGGTCTATGGCGCCCGAGGCAGAAAGGTCCATAAAAGTCCACAAAAAACGTGTCAATATTCCTCCATACTGCTCGTCCAATGTATTCCAAGTGTCCTGAGTG